TGTTCAGTCTGGAGAAGAGGAGGCTGAGGGGAGACCTTCTCGCGCTCTACAACCACCTGAAAGGAGGGTGCAGTGAGGCAGGGGTTGGTCTCTTCTCCCGGGTAACTAGTGATAGGACGAGAGGCAATGGCCTCAAGTTGTGTCAGGGGAGATTTAGATTGGATGTTAGGAAAAATTTCTTGACTGATAGAGTGGTTGGGCATTGGAACAGGCTGCCCAGGGAAGTGGTGGAGTCCCCATCGCTGGAGGTGTTTAAAAAACATGTAGATATGGCACTTTAGGACATGGTTTAGTAGGTATTGTGGTGTTGGGTTGATGCCTGGACTTGATGATCTTAGAGGTCTTTTTCAACCTATGATTCTGTGATTTCAGTTTGTTGAAATTCCTACTCCAGTTCCTTTGACGGTATAATAATGTAGATTTTAACTGGCTGTATAACAGTATTAAGATGGGGAATATCTGTGAGTTTTTGAATGTTCAGTCCAAATGTATGAAATAACCTAACAATGGAAGCCTTTCTGCTGTTTTGTCCATGGGTCATTAGGATTTTAGACCTGATTGTTTGATAAGGAGATCTGTGTAGCTTCTAAATGTTGAAAGAAAACCTAGTATCTCATTTCTTCTTATATGAGAAGTTTTTACTTTATTAAAAGCACCCTGTCATTGTTGTGGTCCATTTTTGCTTGGATTTTATCTCTGGTTTTAGTCCCATTTAAAGAATTATTTGTTTGGAACTTCAATAGAACCTCAGTTCTGTTCCATTTCATTCTTGCTGAAAATTGGTAATTTTTTGGCCTTGATGCAAAATTGCAATGGAGCTAATTTTTTAATAATGCGGTTTTGCAGAGGATTTTGATCTGCCTTTTTCCATGCACACAGACTTTTGCTTAAATACAGGGTTGTCACCATCACCTAAATGAATATCCTGATTTGTACAGTCTTCAGATTGTAGTTCTGAGATGTTTTCCAAAGAGATTTAACAATTGCTTCTTACCTTAGCAGCTTTGTCCTGAGATTTAGAGGAAGAAATATTTTTTTCCCTTTCCCTGTCCTTAAAACCTACCCAATTCTACAGAATTCTTTTCCGCAGAAATATATTAAATGGATTTTGTCAGTGATGCTTTCATTTATTCAGACTGGTGGTCTGTTGAGAAAACTATGCTAGTTTACATAGCTCTGTACTTGATTAGTTCTTTGGCGCAATGGTAGAGCCAGGATATTGTATGATCCACACCTTGCCCTGATTAATTTCTGCCGCAAGAATGTTTGGAGAAATTCTAATGCCTTGCATAAGAAAAAAATAAAAAGTTTTTTTGCTAATGGGATAATTACTTCCATTTTATGGCACTCTTCGTCCTGTAGGATCTCAAAGCACTTTGCGAATTCACATATTAGCTCTTGGAACTGTTTGGTGCAGTAGTGCAAAGCTGCCACACCCTGGGTGAAATTTATCATCTTTGTCGCAGTGACAAGGCATTTTGTCTTCGTGTATAGTTTTGAGGGTGTATGTTAGGGAGACATGCTCCAATTAATCAAGCTGGAAATTAGGCTGGATTATGAGAGTATTGTTGTTACTGGATTTACCCTGATAAAGTGTACTGTATCCACAAGAATTACCCGTTTGGCACAGGCTCAAAAAATGCTGAATACTGAGTGAGAATCGCTGTATTCAGCATATGGGAGACCACACATCTAAATTGTCTTCTCCTGCCTGGTTTTGGGAGAGCAAAGAAGAAAACAAGGTAGCGATGCTAGACCTTTTAATCTCTTAGCTACTGACAGTTTAGTGTATCAAAAGGCAAGGAAAAGGACGGTTTATGATCTTGCATAATTTGAAGAGGTGATTCTCTTAAAGAAATTGTTCCAAGAGTGAATGATCTTATCTGTTAAAAAAAAATTTAAAATAAAATATGCATTTTAACTTGGCCTGAATTTGGCTCACTTATGCTTCTAAGCCTGATTAAATTCTCTGCTGGTTGCTTAATTTTAGAACTTGATAAGAAATCTCTTTACTGGGAGAACGTGAACAATCACTTCTTTACATTTTCTTAGAATAACCTAAATAATCTGTAGTTTTCTACATTGGGACAAGATTTTTTTGTCTTTGTCTTGTGCATAGAACTCTTTTTCCAAGTATTTTTACAACTTACAAGTTAATTTTTTAAAGTGTAAATAATGAGTCCTAACACAGTATTTTGACTACTACTGTTTTCACCTAGAATATTAACATTTTTTATTTCTCCTTGATATTGTAACTAAAATATGACTTTTTGAAAAGCTGAAGTTGTATATGAGGTCTGAAATTCCCTGTTCAGCTGCATGCTCAAAACAACTCCTGTGTCCTTTTTCAATACCAGAAAAAATGAATATTGTCTTGTGGTTACTCAGGACCTGTTTTATGAAGTCAATCTGATCAATAACTAGCTCTTAGTTGCATCAGGTATTTCATCTTCATACCAATATCATTGTTTATTCTCACCTAGTTTGTATTCTCATTTTCATTATGCTAGTTTGTGTGGACTTCTCTGGAGTATCATTAGGAATATAACTACTGGTGTGGCAGAAAGAAATACTGAGGTTTGATCTTTGGTGATCCGTTAATGTTTCAGAATTATATGTGTAAACTGGAACTTTACCAGCAGTGATATTCATCCCAGTTGCCAGTTGTATCGACACAATGCGTGCCAAGTCCTGGCTGCAAAGGCACCTTGTGCTCACACTGCAGATGATGTGCATTAGCAGGTGCCCTTTCATATGACTTTCACCTTGATTCCAGCGGAAGGGAAATGACTTTGAGCTCTCCAGCAGCAGAGTCAAGTGCATTTTGCATAATTCCAAGTAGGGATGCAGGAAAGACTTGCACCAAAAAGAACCCCCTGCACACTAAATAGCTCCCAGTTTCTGCTTTTGTACCTACCTGTGTTTTGGCTTGAGAGGTTCTGGTCACTACTCGGTTTTCCGTTAATAGGATTCTTACAGTCACTAACTATAGGAAGCCGAACTGCTTGGGAAGGGTGTGTTGAGAGAAGAATGCCTCTTCTAGATGACTAAAAAGTGGACAAACCAACTTTTTTGGATTTTTGTTGATTTTTTTTTTCTTTTCTTAAATCTGGAAGGCTCATGGAGTAGCATGAAACTTTGCTATTTTATGTGCGGATATCTGGTGAAAAATATAGAGGGATATATGTAAGGAATACAGAGGTTCTTGGTTCCTACCGTCCTTTTTTGTTGCTGCAAAAACCAAAACAGACAAGGCGTTTGAAGAATCATGCTGCTTCAATTTATTAACTTGTTCCCATACTCTAAAAGTTTGTCACTAGAAGGTTGATGATTTCTTTTGGTGAGGCCTCAACTCCATCAAGAATTTTTTTTTATACAGATCACTTCTCATTGATTTAGTAAGCAACATAAAGGTGTAGCAAGATACTTGCAGCCTAATTGAATTAATTTGTGGTTATGAAGTGTTTATTTACTTCTGTAACACTTTGCTAGATAGCTAGGATTTGGCATAAGCTTCTTGGAAGGGTTTTATTTCTGATCTGTCCTGAACCTACCTACCTACTACAGCAGATATTATTCTGGACCGGACTGTTGAGATGTAAGGCTTAACTAATGAAAGAAGATCTGTTACTGCTTAAAAGTATGATTTCTTTAAGACTAATTAAGAATATTTATTCTTTTTTAATTACTACAGTGTACAGACTATGACCTGGATTATGGAACCGAATGTTTGCATCTGGCTCTGAAATACTGTAAGACAAATGCCAAACTAGTTGAAGGAACAGCTGACCTCTGGAAGGTAAAGGCAATAATAATACCTATTTTTTATTTAGCTTCTAAAATTAATAAATTTCACATATTGCCATACAAATTCAGATGTGTTTTCAATTGTCATAGTCACACTTTTTTCTTCCAAATTTCAGAATTGTTTTGGGATTATCATGAGCTTTTTTTAGAGCTCATTGTTGTAGACAGGCTTGGGCAGATGTTACCTGAGATAATCAGCGAAGACAGTATTTATGTGGAAGTAGGAAAACCAACTAGATACTTGAATAACCTGAGAATCTGTGAAACTATAAATCCATAATCTCTACAACGAAGAACATTCTTTTATGAGATGAGCTTTCTCCTGCTATTTCTGTATGTTTTGTCTATTTTCCTTCACTTTTCCTGTGATGACATCACTTTTTCTCTGATGCCAAATACCTGGCTAACAACAGTTTGATTTTTAGAGCAGTTCATTACATTCAGTAACCCTGTAATTTTTAACCTCTTCAAACAGTCTTTTAAAGTTTTTTAAGCATCATTCACCATATCCAATAGTCTGTAAATTCCTGACAACTGACAAAGCAGGTGTGTGTACAAGTGCCAAAGGATACGCCCCTGCTGCTTGAAAGTATCCCATTTCATTGTTTTGGATGGTGGGACATTCTTCTTTCTCAGCAGCTGTTGTGTCATGCAATTTTTAAGTGTTTCCTTTTTTATTTATTTTATTTATTTTATTTATTACCACACTTGAATGATCTGGAAGCAGCTCGAATCTCTCCATCTGTCTTTGACAGTAAATTTCCTCCAATGGGACATGATTTCTAATAACATGACAGTAAATCTTACACAGAAAGGTAATTTCCTGAATCTGTAGTGCAGATTTCCTCTGCAATTTAGCAGCAAAATTTACTTACATGTTGTTTGCATACAGCTTCTTTCAATATCTTTCTGGGGACATAGTCTTTCTGAAACACTATATTGCCTGTTTTCCTATTCAGTCTTCTAAGGGACAGATTATCTCATGCATATTTGCATTACGTCACTTTTTGGGTGGTTTTGTTGTTCTCATTGCAAAGCATGATATTTACAATAAAGGTAATAAAATATGCCCGTAATATTTGTTTAGTTCTTTATAATGTTTATTTAGTTCTTTTCTGTCTGTAGATAATGCTGATGCCCAGCAGATGAAATGTAGTCTTTTGACCTAGAATGACAGAGTAATTAAGACTGAAGGAAATACCAAGAGGTCATCTGGTCCAACGCCTTGCTGAAAGTGGAGCCAGATGGGTTAGACTAGGCTGTGCAGGTTAGTTAGACTAGGCTGTCCAGTCTGAGTTTTGAATATCTCCAGAAATGGAGATTTCACAGAGATTTCTTTGGGCTGAACAAGCCAAGTTCTCTCACAGCATCTTAGCAGCCCCCTGCTGGGCTTCCTCCTGTTCCTCATTGTGTTATATGGGGGCGGGGCGGGGGGGGCAAAACTAGAAACAGTAATCCAGTGTGTTCTCAATAGTGCCAAATACAGTGGAATAATCCCTGTATTCTCTGTAATGAAGTCTACTTTCTTAATAATACAGCCCAGTCAGTTGGACTCCTTTTCTGCACTTCTATGCACTGCTGACTCATGCTCAGCTTGTCCAGAAGATCCTTCTCTGCAAAGCTGTTTTCTGTATTTTGGCACCAGTATGGCGTGCTGCACAGGGTTGTTCTGTCCCAGATGCAAGATACTGTATTTGTGCTTGTTATATTTTGCGAGGAATCTGTTGGCCCCTTTCTCCAGGCCTTCAGGATCCCTCTAAATGAGTGTTGTACCCTTGAGCGTATTGAATGCTTCCCCATTTGTTGTCATCAACTAGTCTGCTGAGGGTGTTTCCCCGTTCCCAGATTATTAATAAAGATTAGATAGTATTGCCCCCAGTATCAGCCTCTAAGGAACAGCACTAGTAATCAGCCTCCAGTTACACTTCAGACTTGAGCTTGTGCGCATCTCTGTTTTTAAAAGAGAGTTGTTGAAGTGCTAGTGCCACTCCAGCGTTGTTGGTGAAATTAATCCTGATGCTGTTAACTCTCTAGCGTGTGGGACTCATTGCAGTAGCACTGGACTTTAAGAGTCATGTAAAGACATAGAAGATGATGATATGTGGACAGTGAATTCCTTATAGGTGCTTGGATATTGGACAGAGAACTTTTTTAGCTGGTGGCATACTGGAGAATATGTAGAAGGAGATTCAGGTAGAAAAGCTGAAAATACTGTGGACCAGGTGAACTGAATGTGCTGCCATTCAGTGAGACCTGGACAGGCTGGAGAGTTGGGCAGAGAGGAACCTGATGAAGTTCAACAAGGGCAAGTGCAGGGTCCTGCACCTGGGAAGGAATAACCCCATGCACTGGTACAGGCTCAGGGCTGACCTGCTGCAGAGAAGCTCTGTGGAGAGGGACCCGGGTGTGCTGGTGGATGACAGGTTAACCATGAGCTGACAGTGTGCCCTGGTTGCCAAGAAGGCCAATGGGATCGTGGGGTGCATTAAGAGGAGTGTGGCCAGCAGGTTGAGGGAGGTTCTCCTTCCCCTCTACACTGCCCTGGTGAGGCCCCATCTGGAGTACTGTGTCCAGTTCTGGGCTCCCTGGTTCAAGAAAGATGAGGAGCTACTGGAGAGAGTGCAGTGAAGGGCTACGAGGATGGTGAGGGGACTGGAGCATCTCTCCTACGAGGAAAGGCTGAGGAAGCTGGGCTCATTTAGCCTGGAGAAGGCTGAGAGGGGACCTTAGAAATGCCTATAAATATCTGAAGGGTGGGTGTCAGGAGGATGGGGCCAGACTCTTTTCAGTGGTGCCCAGCAACAGGACAAGGGGTAACGGGCACAAATTGAAGCATAGGAAGCTCCAGCTGAACATGAGGAAGAACTTCTTCCCTCTGAGGGTGACGGAGCACTGGAACAGGCTGCCCAGGGAGGTTGTGGAGTCTCCTTCTCTGGAGATATTCAAGACCCACCTCGACAAGGTCCGCTACAGGGGGAGCTTCTGTGAGAAGCTGCCAGAAGATTCCTCTGTATCTGATAGACCCAATGCCAGCCAGCTCCAAGACGGACCCACCGCTGGCCATGGCTGAGCCTGTCAGCGATGGTGGTAGCACTTCTGGGATAACACATTTAAGAAGGGAAAAAAAACCACCTGCACAGCAATAGAGGAATGAGACGATGTGAGGGGAACAACTCTGCAGACACTGAGGTCACTGGAGAAGGAGGGAGAGGAGGTGCTCCAGGTGCCAGAGCAGAGATTCTGCTGCAGCCTGTGGAGAAGAGCATGGTGAGGCAGGCTGTCCCCCTGTAGGTCCATGGTGGAGCAGATATCCACATGCAGACCGTGGATGACCTCACGCTGGAGCAGGTGGATGCCTGAAGGAGGCTGTGACCCCATAGGAAGCCCGCGCTGGAGCAGGCTCCTGATGTGACCTTGTGACCCTGTGTGGGACCCACGCTGGAGCAGTCTGTTCCTGAAGGACTGCACCCCGTGGGAAGGACCCACATTGGAGAAGTTCGTGGAGGACTGCCTTCTGTGACAGGGACCCTACGCTGAGGGAGGACAAGAGTGTGAGAAGGAAGGAGCAGCAGAGACAACGTGTGATGCATGGACCCCAACCCCCACTGTCCATCTCCCTGCACCGCTTGGAGGGACGAAGTGGGGAATTTGGGAAGTTGAGCCCAGGAAGAAGGGAGGGATGGGGGGAAGGTGTTTTTAAGATTTGGTTTTATTTCTCATTACCATACTCTGATTTTGATTGGTAATGAATTCAACTAATTTGCCCAAGTTGAGTCTGTTTTGCACATGATGGTAGTTGCTGAGTGATCTCCCTGTCCTTACCTCGACTCATGAGCCTTTCATTTTATTTTCTCTCCTCTGTCCAGCTGAGGAGGGGGAGTGATAGTGCGCCTTGGTGGGCACCTGGCATCCAGTCAAGGTTAGCCCACCGCAGTCTTAGTGTTGACAATATTGCGCAGTGCGTGATGGTAGCAACAGCACCCATTTATGTGCAGATACTGTGCTGCAGGCAGTGCAGAGCAGGGAGTATGCTACATATAGCATACATAAAGATGCTGATGCCATGTCATTAGAGTACCTATACCTTCTTGCATCCTCTTCCCTGTCTTATTTTGTAGCTAAAAGTCATTGGTGTCTTCTGTGGCTTGTGAAGACATTCAAAGGCATAAAAAGGACAAGGTCTGTGAAATGGTAAATTGTTTCTGCAGCAAATACTCGTATCAGATTAGAGGCTACAGAGGAAGATAGCTCCTTCCTGCCTGAATAGCACCCTGATCCTGGTCATGCTGTACTGGGGTGCTTGGCAGGTGACTTGGGGCAGTACCGTTAAAGAAGAGAACACTCATGCTCACTGTGTGCAGTTTGAAGTGCAGAAGAAAGCAAATTTTCTCAAATGATGCTTGCCTACAAAACGGTTAGGAGCTATTGCTGTTAGCTACTAAACACCTTTCAGAAGCAGAGTTATCTTTCCTTAGCTGTCATAATAATGTAATTTGCAATATGTTGTTGCTTTTTTTTGTAAGGCTTTTCAATGCTGAGATAAATTATATTTCATATGCCAAGAGCTGATGTGCTCCCAATGGCCCCAGTCTTATTTTTTCAACAAGAGGCAAAAAGATACTCCATGCAGATAAATGAGAACTGAAATAAATGATCATTGTTCAGTCAAGGTTTCAGAGGACGTGTAACAGAAAAACTGTGGTCAATTAACAGGTGGAGAACAGTTTCTAAAGTCCCAGTGTTACAAACCAGTTTCACCCTGTGTAGACCTTGAATCTTCAAAGAGCAGATCTGATATCTGTAAGTTTATTTATTAGGTGCACAACCTACATAACATTAAAAGACTCAGAGCTGTGGGGAAAAGTTACTTATGTGTGCAAGTATATTGTTTTCTCGAATTATCTCTAATTATTCTACCTGAGCACTGTCTACTTACAGTGCATTAGAAAAAGTGACATTTCAAAGTCACTCACTGTTGGAACTAAAGCAAGAGATAGTTTGTTTACTTTCTGGTAACAAATTACAAAATTAAAATCATTCTTTGTAGTGACAATAACTAGACAGGAACATTCAAATTACTTCAGTGTTATAAATATTTATAGGTTCTATTATAAATAGTTGTTATATCACTATTTATAAGGTATTTAGGATCAGGATGGCAAAAAAGGAATCAGAATGACACTGTCAACACCACATTTTCACTTTCTCTGTGCTTGACACCTTTGGAACAAAATGACCTTAAATGTTCTGGGGCAATATCCTCTGAAATAAAGTATAAAACCATGTAACATAATGTAACTGTTGGACTCTATATCTGTGTGTATAATGCAGATGAAAGCTGCATTCTAAGAACATTTTTCAGAGCTTGGTACACATTTAAAGACCTAATGGTGATAGTGCGAAAAATCCTTATGATTTCTAAAAACAACACGTTATTTTCTAATCCTACAAAAATATCCCATGCAAAGGAGATCTGTATGATACCTTAGTAGAACAGAGGGAAATACTTCATTGAACTAAAATGCAGTACATTTCTTGTATGTGTGATCATAGCTTGATTGTATTTGTTTGGTAAAGAGTTATGTTTTGCATTTAAGATACAGTTTTGTAAATCTGAAATTTTCATCAAGCTGAATCAGTTTGAAGAAGACTTTTAAGCATTAAATGGGAATAACTCTGAGGAACTTTTAAAAGAGCGTCTTCCTAGGCAGTGAAAAGTTGCAGTCTGACAACTGAGAGAGAAGGGCACACAGGAAAACAAACCAACCAACCCTTGTCTGATGATTTTGAGGCTTTACTAAATAGATCTAGTAGATTGTTTACTTACAGAAAAATAAGGAAATGTTTAAAAAGCAAGACTATTCTGCATTTGCCAAATAAGCAGATGATGGTTTCATATTCCGTGTTAGTGAGTTATTTGTGTTGAGATTTAGTATATGGCCTAGCAATATTCTAGATTGCAGCAATAATGTCCATAAGATCTTGGAACACTAGATTCTCAAGAGGACAACATGAAAATTAATGTTGTCACATGAAGAGAGAGAATCTGAGTGATTAGAAGCCTGTGAGTTAGGTATTGATCAAGAAAACAAAAGGGTGCACTGCTACAGGCAGAACGAAAGAAAGAGTTAAGAGACTGATGTAATTAATGACAACCAACACAGATTTACTTGTTTTGTGAAAGTGACTTCAAGCCTGTTTTAAAAGATTATAGTCTTGGCTGATAAAGGTGGTAGTGCTGATACAATATACAGTTGGCACAAGTTTAACTTATTGCTACATGGCATGTTAATTAAAAACAGGATGACTGTAATTGTACTAGTCCTCATTAAATAGATTAAAAATTGGATAACTGAGATATTTCAAAAGATAATTCTTACCACGTACAGTTCTACAGAAACTGTTACTGTCTCTAAACGATTTAACATTTGTCTGATAAAGTTTGCAGACAACACAAAGGTATAAGGATTTGTAAATAAAAATATAATTGATCAGAAGTAACCTATTGATAACTATTGCTTGGCAAATAATTTAAACAAAAGGTATACTTTTCATTGCAGCCAAGTATGAAGAAGTGTTTTTAGAAACAAAAAAGTATAGTCCATATTTAAAGAATTGTTCTAGGAAAGCAGTGACTTTGAAAGTGGTGTAGGAATCACTGGGTACAGCAAGCTTCCACTGTGGGCAATATACCTTATGTCAGCCACGGATATAGAAACAAGAATACGACATTATAAAACAGATGTTCTAACATTGCAAGTACATCTAGAATACTATGGTCAAATCTGGACTCAACCTCTGTGCAACTGTTGATAAATAGAGAAGGTTTAGAGAAGAGCATGAAAAAGAAGATTAAATGGTAATTTGGTAAGTCGGTAGAAATTTAGCTTAGTAATGTCATATAAAAAAACAGAAATGGATGAGGTAGAAGATCTTTCTTCTGTAAAGTGAGAGAGAACTCCTCTGTGTCATTTTTCTTGCTTATTCTTTTTCCACTGTAATTTTTGCACCTCACCTGGCTTGCGAGAGAGGACAGTGCCATCTTTCTGGTATAGAGTGGCAGTTAAAGTATTCTTCCCAGTTGAGGTGGCTAGATCTGTATTGCTTTCGGCTCAGGTGAGCCTAGAATGCAAATCCACTTCAGTGAAAACAGAGATACAGCAGTTTAGCTGCTGAGAACAATAAACTTTTTGTTGACTAGCCTTAAAAGTTGTTTAAAACAAATTCATACTAAAATAGTCAGTGGTTGGAATTAAACCAAAGGGTGTCTCTGTTGTGATTGCCTACCTTTTGAAGAAGTCTCATCTAAATTGCAAGAACACCTTAATCAATACAAGAAAATCGAGAAACAGTACGAATATCCATACCTTAAGAGAAACTTTAGTTGGACTTAGCATCTTATTCAATATTGAAAGAGGTGTATAGGGTCCCTCCCTCCATGACTGGTAAATGGTGGTCACCTGTGGTAGCTGGCAGGGTTTTTGTCTCTGTCAACTTTGCTATTCTCATAAAGCTTATAGCAGCTTGTATGTGAAATTAGTTTATAGGATCAAAGATTATGAAAGAAATATATATGGATAGTGTGATACGGTCTCAGATTCTGTATTTCTCTAGCAAACCACTGTAAGAAGTGTTTGCTGATGTCTGGCTCGGAATTTCAGAAGTGATGATTTTAAAGGTTCTTTCTTAATGTTTTTATTCTTATGTGCTGTTTTCTTGAAGACTGGGCCTACTTGATAAAGTAACTTCTTTTTATAATCAGACTATTTAGAAGAACTTTTGCATCTCAAAGAGATTGTGACCCTTAGAGTACAGGCACTTTTGACAGAGCTTGGATAATCTTGTTTCTTGAAATGGCTTTAGACAGTAACCTGTTAGGGGTATACTGAAAGTTCAGTAGAAAAGCCCTCTAGAAGCAGGTAATTAGAAAGAAACCTTGCAACAAAATTGGTCACTCAGTAATTCTTTATCCTTAAATTTAAATTCGAGAGATATTGATTCTTCCTAACAGTATGTAAACTCAGACACCTAAGATTTCTCTGTAGGGAAGTAAGTGAATTTTTAATTTTAAAAGAATATAATTCCTTAGAGAATTTGTGAGTAATGAGAAAGGTAATATTATATGTCTGTTTCTGACTACAGTACACAGCTTAATTTGAGATGGAAATGAAAGTAGTTACAAGAATCCTCATGTTAAAATCAAAGACTCAGTTACTTGGAGACTAAAATGCCAATACCTACAATGGTATGTTTCTGCGTAAGATTTACTTTGCAGCACTAAAGCTTTTGGAATCCTGTTCAGTCCATTTCAAAAAGAAATAAAAAAGTTATTCAGACTCTGTAGAAGCAAATGCAGAAAATCTAGTAATATTTAACATAGAAGGAAGTTACAGTAAAAACAAAGACATGTTTAGGAGTTATATCAGTTCATGTTACTGTATGTCATTGTAAAGACATTGCTAGCAAAAGACTGTTGATGTCTTGGGTAGATGCTGTCTTTAGTTTTCCGTTACTTTAGTTGTAAAGCTAATACTGAGACTGTCAGCCACCATGAGGATACAAAGACATATGTGAAACATGTTTATTGGAGGTACCAAGTAAATATTCAGCATCTTATTGTCCATCTAACTTGACCTGATTAATGTCTTCAAGAAGATCTTGATGGTTTTTAATCCTCTGAAAGCTCATATAAAGCCTACTGTAGTCTCACTGACTCCCACTGATTACTTGTACTCTCATAAACAGTAATAGTCTTGCACTACTGAAAAATTATGCCTATGTGAGTAAAAGAAATAGCAAGACTTCTCCTTGGCTGTCATTTTTGTGATCAGCAGTCCTATAAAAATGAGTCTATTTCACAATAAGATTATACAGTAGAATGGATGTGAGAAAATGGATGCAATATCATATTTTTATGATTCTTCAAAGGGTTAAAAATAATTTTAGGTTTCAATTGAGTTCTAAGCAGATCTAAGTATTGAAAAAAAAGGTTTTTCTCGAGTCTCTGGAAATTTGCGCAACTTCTGTTCTCGTGACTTGCCAGTGATATTTTACCAGAATTAAGAAATTGACAACATCATTTGTTTATAGTATTTCAAATGTAAAGAATTGCCTTCAGGGCGTTGTTTTATTGATTTTACATTCCTTCCTGCTGTGTTAAATCTAATGAGACTTGTCTGTCCTTTAGGTGACCTACAAGAGGGATTTGTATGCAGCTGAATCGATTATTAAGGGTATGTGTTTGTCCTTGTGTCTGTCAGTTTGCCTGAGTCTAATTAAGAATCTTGTGTGCTATACTTTTAAATGTCTCCAAGAAAAGTTTTATGATGAATAAAATGTGCTGAGGCAAGTTGTTTTAGCCTGTTCACTGGAATACTTACATTATGCATCATTTACCATTATTTACCTCTCTTAGAATAGAGAACCTTATAAAAAGCTATGTGTATTACAGAGTCAAACAGAGATGAATTTTTAATGGCTTTATAAGAATATTTTTTTCTTTCATTTGCTGTTCAATTCTATGTATATTTCATCTTTCTAATCTAAGTAGTAGATTGAAAATTAAATATTAACTCTTTAGGGTTCTTCACTCTTTTACATACAGCAACTTGTTACCTAAATTGATATAGCAATTATATGATATTGAAGTATTCTCTTAATTTATCAATACTTTGTTGAACTGGTTTTTAACTTTTTCATGTACTGGCAACAGTGATTTCATGGCAGTTTAACATAAAGACTAAATTTAGTCTTCATCTAGATCGACTCAATCTAAAAACAATGTAGGAAGGAAGAAATCTTAAGTACTGTATAACGAGCACAATGATGGTTATTGTAACCTGATAGGCACTGATTCAGAGGACTCTTGCTTGACTCCTTGTTGAGAACTGAGGGGTAAAAGCCCGGAAGCTGACGAAAAGAAAGGGACTTCCCTTTGGATTAAAAGTATCTCTCCACAGAAAAGAGTGTGGTTCCTATTGAAGAAAAACAGAGCAAAGCCCATGTCCTTTTAGGGCACAGTGAGTGACTGGTTAGTTGTTCATTTTGGTGGCTCATGTTATTACATGATCCAGTACTGGCTTAGCTGCTGGTTTGGGTAAAGCAGACCATGCCGAGAGCATCTCTGTCACTGTAGACAAGCTAGAAAGCTTAAACAGAGCTCAGATAGCGCTGTGGTGTTCTCCATGCTGCTTCTATAGACCTCGAGGAATGCAATGAGTTTGAAGTTTCTGGTTGTTACAGTGGGCAAATATTGCATATTATGAGCATTGCTACAACTACATGACTGATTTTTTCAGGCACTTACCAAGGAGATAGGGCTGGGAAACCTTGGAAGTTCTGGTTTTGACAGGGAATGGAATTTCATCTCCATAGCTGGAGGCCTGGAATTTTTAAAAATCTTGTTCTTAGGGTTCTTAGAGGTTCCAAACTCTTCTGGCTTTCAAGCTTAGGATTTACAAACCTAATAAAGACAAGAAGGTGGCTGGGAGTAGTCGGCATGAATTTACAAAGGTGAAATGATGCCTGACCAACCTGACAGCCTTCTACAATGAAATGTCTAGCTTGGTGGATGACAGGAGAGCAGTGGATATGGTTTGTCTTGATTTCAGCAAGGCTTTTGATGCTATCTCCCACGACATTCTCATTGACAAACTGATGCAGTACGGACTAGAGAAGTGGACAGTGAGGTGGATCGAAAACTGACTGAACTGCCAGGCTCAAACAGTAAAGCCCAGTCATTAGTGGTCTACCCTAAGGGTCAATGCTGCTTAAAATCTCCACTAATGATCTGAATGATAGGGCAGAGCACCCTCAGCAAGTCTGGAGATGAGGTAGAATTGGGAGGAGCAGTTGAAAGACCAGGTGGTTGTGCTGCCATTCAGAAAGACCCTGACAGGCTGGAGAAAACAGATGGACAGGTGTCTCGTGAAATTCAGCAAGGGGAACTGCAAACCCCTGCACTTGGGAAGCACCATTAGAGGCTGGGGACTGAGCAGCTGGAAAGCAGGTCTGCAGATGAGTCCCTGGGGAGTCCTGGAGGACAACAAATTGGACAGGAGCTGGCAATGCGCCCTTATGGCAAAGAAGGCCAGCAGCTCCCTGGACTACCATAGGCAGAGCATTGCCAGCAGGTCGAGGAAGGTGATCCTTCCCCTCTGCTCAGCACTGGTGAGGTCATATCTGGCGTGTTGGGTCCAATTCTGTGCTCCCTGTGCAGGAGAGACATGGTCATACTGGAGAGCATCAAGCAAAGGGCCATGACGATGATTAAGGTAGCGGAGCATGTGTCAGATGAGGACATGCTGGAAGAGCTTGCACAGTTATGCCTGGAGAAGAGAAGGCTCAGGGGGATCTTAGCAATGTGTATAAATGCCACATGGGGCACAGTGAAGAAGATGGAGCCGGACTCTTCCTCAGTGATGTTCAGCAAGAAGAGAACAGGCAATAGACACAAACATTTCAGTTTATACAGAAAATTCCATTTATACATCTGGAAAGCTCGGAAATTCTTAGGAGTCTCAGATTTTTATTACAAAGCTGGGAGGTTGGAAGGGAGACTCTCTGCCCTTGGTTTCCTAGGAATCAATTGTTCAGCTGAGATTGCCAGTATGAGCATCTCTTGGTTTATAAATGCCATTTTTCATCAGCTTTTATTGAGTTACTGAAAAGAATATTTCATGTCAGAAATTACTTTGGTTAATATTTTCAAAACGGTATTTTTAATTTATACAATCTTATGGGAAGCTTTGAAAATGGAGGTACAATTTGACAAACTGGAAAAACATTTTCAAAATATGCAGTTTCTTTGTTTTGTCCACTTATTTTTTGATAGCTATTGGATATTTACAAACTTTATGGAAACTTAATTCATTCTGCCATTAACAGTTTTTCACAAATAAAATCTAGATAAGAAGTTCTTGAGTTGGCCCGGTGATTATCAAAGCATTTAAAAAAAAAAATCTGATTTCTTCTGCTCTTGGAAAAGTATGTAGTAGTTTTCATTTAATTTTAAATGGTCTTTCCATGGATAAAACAATTCAGTTTGAATATAAATTTTAAAAGCTCATATATTGTTATTGTGGTTGTCATATTAGCAAAATGACTCATAAGACAAAAAAAAAGTTAATAGAATGAATCAGTATGCAAAAGAGATTTCATGGTACAGTGTGATATAAAATTAAGCAATGGTTTTATCTCCTTGCTGAATAGGAATTGGAACTAATACTTTACCTTGAATGATAGATCAGTGGAAAAAAGGGAAGCTTCCAATCTTTGAGAAGTGTAAAAGTAATTATCTAAAAAAAAAATTGAAGTTCTTTTTTTCCGGTCTAAATATAGATCCATTACACTTTTCTCACTGAATTACTAATTCTAACAGACTGTATGCATGCTTTTACAGTACAGACTTCTTTTAAGTATTATCTGTAATTTTAAGTATTATCTATATAGCAGAGACTGTCAAAGAAAAATAAAAAAAAAGAAAAATATATGGTAACGTTAGTAAGGAAGTGTAGAAAGCTGATTCAGCCACTTGGATGTGCTGTTTTGTTACAATATTTGTAAATATTTGCTGTAACAAGAGTAGTTGTACTTCTGTCAGTCAAGCTTGCTCAGGCCAGTAGTGCCAGCATAAAATGAGGTAAATGCCATGAATCAGCTCAATGAATGTATTATGTTGATCATGTGTTGACAAAAGGTTCAATATTTAATTTGGAAAAAAAGTCTCAGCAAACTCAGTTCTATGTTAACTTTGATCTTGTTTTCCTTTTTCTTGTATATGTTTCATATTTATTTATCATGTGTGTTCTCAATATTTAATAGCAAATTATCAGTCATTACTGGATCAAGAAGATCCATTTTCATTTCCATTTTCCTTGAACTTGTAGACTCTACTTCTTTTGTAATAGAACGACCCATTTATTGAACTGTATCATTCAGTATTACTTGAATGCTTAAGAACTTTTTAGTTCAGAGGACCTTCAGGATGTAGTGAGTGTGTGTAATCTTTAAAGGAAAAGAAAAATCAAAACCTGTGCTGATTTCTATTTTTAAAAAGTTCTTGATCATCTTCTTGGAGTTTATTTGTTCCTTTACTAGATACGTTCTTTTCTAGTGGCAAGGAAAAAGCCAGATGGACACTGTCCTGGTTTTGGCTGGGATAGAGTTTATTTTCCTCTCAGTAGCTGCTGTGTTTTGGGTTTAGTAGAAGAATGTTGATAACACTGATGTTTCCAGTTGTTGCTATGAAATCAGGGACTTTTTTCAGTTTTCTCGTATTCGGCCTACAAGCAGGTGTGCAGGAGCTGGGAGGGAGCATAGCCAGATGGATAGCCAAGCTGGCCGGTGGAAATATTCCATGCCATAGACATCGCACTCAGTTTATAAATGGGGGTTGGCGGGGGGGGGGCAAGAAGTTTTTCTGCTCTTCGCATTTCCTTGAGTTAAAGTCCTCTTTTATCCAGGAGTTTAAACTTTTTTGGGAATTTAGTGGAATTCGTGATTCTGGTGTTCCGCGATCACTGCTCAGGGAGTGGCTGCGAATCGGTCATCGGGTGGTGAAAAAATCTGTATTTTATATAGTTTGTTTTGCATATTCGTTATAGTCGTTGTTGTTATCATTGTTATTAGCAATAGTATTAGTAGTATTAGTATTTCCTTTGTTGCCTTATTAAACTATCTTTATCTCAACCCACGAGTTTCCCCTTTTGTCCATTTCTCCTCCCCATCCTGCTGAGTGGCAAAGAGGAGGGGTGAGCGAGCGGCTGTCTGGTGCTTAGGTGATGGCTGCCGGGTTAAACTATAACGGACACCTTATGTAAAGTATGTTGCTTTACGTAGCTAGAGGAGAAGGCAGCACCCTGCTTCCATCATTCAGCTGTCCAGTTTGCTTATGCCTTCTTCCCCACATATCCCCATCACTGGAGAGCAGCTCTTGTGAAGGTTGGAACTGAGTCATCACGCTTCTTGTGGGGAAACCAGAAACGAATACAGTGTGAAAAAATGGTTCCTGTGCTCTCCCTCTGCTGCCTTATAAAGATACCCTTGTAAAGGTGACTCCTGTATTCTTTGAATTAGTGCTATCCTTTCTTCTTATTTCATGCAAAACCCGCTATAAACCTGAAACAATACTGCAACTTTCATGCAAATCAATTTGCATGTTGCTGTGTGTATAAGGGCTTCAATAATCTCATAAGTCATTCAAGAAGATTATTTATAATTTCTTTAAAAATTA